AGCACCAAGCGCGAGGAGGAGGAGGAGGAAGAGGAGGAAGAGAGGGGACCCACGGGGACGCCCCCGCCGCCGGCGCAGCCCCCCCGCCCAGCACAGCCCCCCCCGGACCCCGCAGGTGACTTGGGTCCCGCGGAGCCGCCGCTGGTGGACGCGGCCGACACGACCCAGCCCGGCGTGGGGGGCGAGTGGCCCCGCGGGGGCCCCCCCCAGGAGCGGCCGCCCCCCCCCCGCCCCAGCAGCAGCTCCGGCGAGGGGCCCCCCCCCCCCCCCCCACCCCCCGGGGCGCCCCGGGGACCCCCCCCGGCCGCCGTCAAGGCCGAGGCGATTGTCATCTCGGACGAGGAGCCCGACGGCGCCCGACGCCCCTCGTCGGGACCCCCCCCGGCCCCCGCCCCATCCCGGCCCGGGGGGTTCGGGGAGGGGGGTGCGGCGGCGCTGGGGGCGGTTCTGGGGGGGCCGCTGCGGGAGCCCCCCCTGTTCCTGGCGCCGCTGGAGCCCCGGGGGGGGTTCGGGCTGTTCGCCGAGGAGGCCCCGACGTGCCCCACGTGCGGGAAGACGTTCTCATGCTCCTACACCCTGCGCAGACACGCCACCGTCCACACCCGAGAGCGGCCCTACGAGTGCCGCCACTGCCTGCGCTCCTACACCCAGTCCGGGGACCTGTACCGACACGTCCGCAAGGCCCACAGCCACGGAGGGACCCACGGCCACGCAGGGACCCACGGCCATGCTGGGACCCACGGCCACGGCGGGGCCGCGCGCGCCCACCACGACCACCGGGACACCGCCCGCGATGGGGACAACCCCACCTGAGCGGCACCGGCGGGACCCCCGTGACGGGACACTGGGACCCCCCGCCATGGGACAGTGGGACTCCTCCAGGGGCACCGGGACCCCCGCGACGGGACACTGGGACCCCCACTATGGGACACCGGGACCCCCTGTGATGGGACACTGGGACCCCCGCAACGGGACACTGGGACTCCCACCATGGGACAATGGGACCCCTCCGGGGGCACCGGGACCACCAGGAAAGATGTGGGACAACCCAACCTGACCCGAGCGGGACCAGCGGGACTGGGATGACCCTCCTTGGACAGGACCACCGGGCTGGGACAGACCACCCAAACAAGGACCACCAGAACCGGGACCCCCCCAGGACCCCCGGGATGGGACAGCGACAACCCGCCCTGAGCCAGGACCAC